AAGCCCTCTTGCGCAAGAATACTTGCTCGAGAGGGCCAGTGTAGACAGGGAAGAATTGTTTGGCGCAAAAAAGCCCCGACGGCTAAAATGGCGATCGGGGCTTTCTTGCGCAAAATTGCGTCTAGACTGGCCACGGATGCTTTTGCGCAAAAGCATCCTTGCCAATCTAGATGCTCTTTTGCGGAAATACTTTTAACGGAAAAACTTCCATTAAAAGTATTTCCGCAAAATCATGCCAGTCTAGATGTAGCCATCTTGAATAATTCTGGCATGTTTGCCAATACATTTCTCTCAACTTTTCAAAAACGACGAGTCCTGTGATATCTTAATGACTAACTGATTTATTTTAAACAAATCTGTTAGACTTTAAGATGCCACAGGACTCCTTGCTGTTTTTGCAGATACAGAACTAGTCGTTCTTTTAAAGTTGTGGACTAACAAGACTACCCCCTAAGACTTTTAAACAGACTAACCTATTTACCCCTCTGAAACCTCTCAACTTTTCCAGACTCTTGTTTGGCTAAATGTTTTATTTGGTGACAGGCTAATATATTAATGGTGTGATCCATGGCAAATCATTAAAAATATTCTGTATTTTAAACTTCAGCAGTTGGGTATCATTTTTTAAAAAAGCATTTAAAATAATTCCTAAATTACTTATCATATTGTTTTTTTAAAATCATTTGTTCTCCCCTCCAGTCTCTCCTTTGTTTTTGAATGGTTGTTATCCAGAGTTTCTAGCCATTAATCAAGATGGATCAATTGGATTAGCTGTTACTGTTAGAAAGCAGTTACAGGAAGACTCATTACTTACTGATATCAGACTTAATAGTGATAACCGTTAATAATGTTTGGTTACAAAACAGTGCTTTTCAATTCTAGATCACAAAGCAGAGTGGGGATTGTCATTTCCACTTTTCAGATGGGGAAGCTGAGGTGCAGAAAGATGAAACGATGTGTCCATCTCCAACCATGATCCAAAGGGCATAGCTGGGAATGGAAACTAAGTGTCCTGAAAGCCAGACCATGCTACTAAGCACTGTGTGGTACTGTTGTTAGTGGTGTTGACAAAAGATGTGTGTAAAGGCAGACAGTGAACTAGTTTAACTTAAATCATTTTAACTGAGCTACTTGTTCTCTGCAGTTTGTTTACAACTGATTACGTGAGTTTAGCTTGAGCCTGTACATTTACCAATGCAAGCTCAATGGATATTAGACAGGTCGAAACTGATACAGGAGAATCGACATGCAAAGTGCCACCAATATAAGAATCACATAACAACAGTGCAAATTTGTGTGTAGACCAGGCCTTAGTCTCCTCCATACTGGGTTAATGATGGGGAGGAAGAAGGAGAAAATCTATCTTGATCCCACTAGTCCTTGTGCAGCACACAGCAAGGAGTACAGAGATATTTGAAATTGTGAGTGGAGGTTAAGCTTATGCACAAATAAAGTTGGTAGGCATAGGGGAAATTTTTCAAAAGCGCTTTAGTGACTGGTGCGCCTACGTCCCAGTGTCTTTCAGTGAGAATTAGGTATGTAGGTCACATAGGAACTTTCGAGAAGTATGACATTATTCCTTTGCACTGAGCAGGGATGTCAGCATGTAGTCGGTTACATGATTAACTGATAAGCCTGTGCTCCAGGGCCACACCACTCATATCCTTGTGGGGGGTGGCACGGCTTGGCTTCTTTGGGGGTCACTCATTTGCCATGACGGGCCAGATAGTCTATCTTAGGACTGTTTGCCACTGACTGTACACCGTCCATCTCTAGATGTCCATTCCCACCTCCTTTAGATCCACAGAAGTCAGAAATCCACTTGCTTTGGTGGATCAGCAGAATCCATTTAATTCAGCATTCCTTTGAAGGACTAACATTTCTTAATGCCAAGCAGGGGAGGGTGTTCCATGCAACACTTCCAGACTGAAACGTGCCCTTAATCCTTTGTTCCATGTACTTGGGGTTTACCTAACACCCATTGGTTTCCGTGGGAGTTAGGTGCCCAGACACCTTGGAGGATCTGGGCCAGCTTGCTTTCCCACTCCGAAATATTGTGGCCATCCTAGGCTCATCTTTCTGCCACACAATCAATTCTATCCATGTGACCACTCTGGAAACAGAAACCGAAGCTGGGAGATGCGAATGTGTCTGAGAAACAAATGATGTTGACGAAATTAAGATCCTATGAGAACAGTTCTCCAGGCTTGTCTGGTTTAGAGCTTGTATTTACAATATGTAATGTGTTTTCCCAGAAGAATAAAAGGAGCGAGTGTAAATGTGATCCATTTAGTTGCAAATTATTTTCCCTTCTTCTGCTTCCTGGTGATGTAGCTCTGACTATGTAGTTTTCTTTGTGCTTTTTTTCTTAAGCAGTTTTATTTAGTGGACAGATTTATCCCCGCATTGACTTCAGTGGCTCTGAGACCATTTTTCCCAATATTGATTTATTTTCTCTTTTTATAGAACTACTGCATCATAACTGTAATGTCACTTTCAAAACACAATGAACACTTTTGGAATGAGACTTGTAGACCATGTTTCTAGAGGAGCTGTACAAAGGTGGAGTTCTGCACCCCACCCCCTGATGATAGATGGATTGCTGATACAATGGTTAAGTGATTGTACAAGAATGTAGGGGTTTATGGACATTTAATATAGACCTCTGTAGAATACAAGATGACCTGCTAGCTGATGGATTTGTGTGTGTGTGTGTTTTCTCATTGTTTGTTAGGAAAATCCTTAATGGGGGTGGGTGGAAAAGGGCCCCATGTCCCCCCAGGGATTTTGCTGGAACAGATGTTAAGGCCTGGTAAGGACTCTCAGTAAAGTGTAGGATTGGGGCTGAGAATAAGTACTCTCCCAGGCTGACCTAAAACAAAGTACAGAGTCAAAACTTACACCCTTTTGCTGGAGTTGGATTTATTAGCAAAGAAATTAACAATAATACCAAGTGCAGTTTCTCTCTTCTTTGAGCTTGGTGCCACTCTCAGGCCTTTGCTACAGATGCCACATCCTCCATCTCTAGATGTCCTCTCCCACTTCTCTGTATCCACAGAGGATGAAATCCACTTGCCTTGGTGACTCAGCAGAACTCATTTAATTTAGCATTCCCTTGCAGGATCAGCATCTCTCTGTGAGGACAGGGGGGCCCTTAATCCTTTGTCCCTATTTTTACAAGTGCAGTGCAGTGTTAGGAATCGTTCCAAGTAGAAAACTGTAACAAAGGGTTTGAAAAATCCCAGTGTAGCTAGTTGTTTCTGTTCCTGCCTCCCCACCACCTCCGCTTGTCTCTGAATTAGAGACCTTGTTGCCTGCCACGCTTTATCTGTCCTATCCTAACCTGTTTTTCTTGATATATTTTGATAGCATGCTAGTAATGCAAGGGGCCTACAGAATTAAATTTTCTGTACGATTGCTTTAGTAGGAATATGGTAGTTGAGGATAAGTTAAGACTTATTTTTTGTTATTTTTCAAGATATATATTAGGTAAGAGCTTTTGCAGTTGGTTTGACAGGCCATTACTTAATTCTGATCGAAACCAATAAGCAGAATCCACCATCTAATTTTTCTTTCTTCCGCAAAGCTGAGATGCCAGATTTCCTGGATCTCACGGGAGGTTCCCAGTCTTTCTGGCTGTTCTGGGATTTGGCCCAAGAAAATGTTACTTCTTTCTCATGCATATTTATAGGCTGCCCCCTGTTCCTTCCAAGCAGGTATATGCACCCACAGAAATCTTACAAAGCCCAGCTTTGGGCAAAGGGTTGAACATCCTGGACATTTTGGCACCAAAAGGGCGATATAAGCCCAGGAATTGGGAAGTCGGAGCTGCAGCAGCTTTTGCTGACAGAGTCTGCTCTGGAGTGTTACTTGTTTTCTCTTAAGGTCAGAAACCAAATACTTATCTCTATTCTATCGTCCTATTTCTATCTTGCTTCTTATAGTTTGTATTTAAGTCTTGCTTTTAAGTATCTCAGTGTCATATACTACACCTGCTCCAAGGCCTTTCAGGTGAAGGGAGGCTGGTCTTTCCACACCCAGCCTTGGGGAAAATAAGATCCTGTGGGTATGAAATGCTGTTAAAGAATTAGTATCTGTATACTTAGATACGTTTTAGTTTATGCCATTTGGGAAGAAACCAGTTAATCTGTGTTCTTACTGCTGTACTCTTTGTGGTTTTTGTAATTGTTATTCCCGTGGCAATAAAATTGATTTTCATTGCATTTCCTCATTTCAAGTGTGACTGCTGTCGATTGCCTGTGGACCCTCATGAGGGGGAATCTTATGGTTCTACTCACTTGTAACCTGGGATGATGAAGATGAACTTAGAATCTCTGGTCAGATTGGCAAACCTTACCCACCTAAATTCCACTGCAGCTCCTTTCCTACAATCCCAGGGTGCCTACTGGTGGGATATTTGCAGGTTATACCTGGTCATTTGTAACAAGATAACGCTTAACGCATGTCACTGCCATATAACCACATCTGACGTGTAATAAGATGGCAACCCCCCCTCAGTTTATTTAGATTCTGAGTTGCATTTATGTATATAGAGTTGGTTCTAGTCACCCCCTTCTTAGGACTTCACAATGCTCTGTGCCTCACTGTTAAGCCCGGTGATCCGTAGATTTACGATACCTGTTTTCTGACACCTACTCACAGGCTTTGCTGAACCTCAGTAGCCAGTATTGGCTGGTATGGAAACCAACATCGTTCATTGTGCTCTGGGTGGTCGGTCTACATGCCACGGAATTTAAGAGACAAACGTTTGAGGGAACGAGGCTGAGAATTCCGACAGTTCTAGACCCCCATCTTGCAAAGGCTAATGCGTGTGTTTGATTTCAGAGGGACTACTCATGCTGCAAGTTAAACCCATAGAGACGTATTTGCAAGGCCACTGCCTTATCAGTCTCGGTCAAAGGGCAGATCACGAGTCCGTTTCTTCTCTGTCATACACAGAATGCCCAGCAATTGTGTGATTTGATTTTTTGTTTTTGTAGGAAACAGTATTACAGAATGGCACAGAAACCTTTAACCTCTGGGAAGACCCTCCTCCCCCAGTCTATATGCAGTTCTATTTTTTTAACGTGACCAACCCATTAGAAGTGGTCAATGGAGATATGCCTTTTGTGGAAGAAATAGGGCCGTACACCTACAGGTAAGTCTACGTCCCTTGCTTTCTTTGCAAAAGTAAAAGTTGGGAGGGTTGGGGTGAGAACATCGATCCCCTGACCGGTTTCTTAGAAAAAAGCCTGTTGGCATGTGCTGGAGTGTGTATTCAAGGGAGGAAGGATGTTCTAGGTCAGAGATGCTCGTGTGTCAGACAGATAAACAGGGCTCTAGTTTTTATAGGGCCCTATGTGAATTGGCACAGAGTCCCCCACCTCCTACTCCTCATGGCACATCCCTGGCTGCCTCCTCCTTGTCACACATTTGTGCGGGGGCACAAGCTAGCAAGTCAAGACGGAATGGAGACCTTTCCAGTGGGGGAAGGGTACAATGAGGATTCAGTCTTTGCCAAGGCCCACTGGCCCCAGAGGAATTTGGGATGGAGAATAGGGCTGTAATCGTGTAGTTGATTAACTGATAAGCAAAAGCTTATAGTTTAATGCTATAGACTATGTGCATTCCCCCTCACTCCCTTGACAGTACATTTTTTAGCAGGCTGGCCAGCAGCCTGGCTAGGCTTTGCTTGGTCTGGGCCTGGGACCTACCCCCGCTGCAGCTCTGCATTTAAAGTGTATTAGGAGCCAGGTAGGCTGGCAGCCCAGCTCAGTTCTGGCTCATGCTGGGTCTGGGAGCTCAGCCCTCCTGGGAAAGGGCTGCTGCCACCCCGCACTGCTGCCTCTGTACCAGAGGCAGCAGCGCAGGGCGACAGGCAGTCAGTTCACGAGGGGAGCTGGTTTTTAAACTGGCTCCCCTCGCAGACCAGCTCCCGCCTGGCACCCCGCACTGCTGCCTCCGATACAGAGGCAGCAGTGTGGCGTGGCAGGGGGCTCCTTGGGAGTGGGGCTGGAACACATTGAGTGCTGCCTCTGTGGACCATAGACTAGGTGAGTAACCGATAAGAATCCGTGAGGTTAATCGACTATTCCGTTAACTGATATTTAACATCCCTATTGGAGAATCGGAGAGGGGCTGGTGGATCAGGCGGAGGCATGTGGAGAAACACAGCATGGGCTCTCCCATGACATGTAATTTTGCAGTCAACGTGCCAGAGGTGGGGCTGGGTGGTGCAGCCCTGTCTCAGTTACTTGTAAATGATGCAGATAAGCCAGGCTGCACATTTCAAAGATCTGTGATTCACTCTCCCTCTCCCTTTTGTTTGGCTTGCCCGATGTTGACTTGTCTGAGCAGGACGGCGTTGTGCCTGGCTCGGTCTGAGAGAGCAACAAACCCTGGAAGCCAACTTCTATTTTCCAGCAGATCGATTGGCACTGCCAGGGCTGTGGGTTGCTGACAGCACCAGCTGAGTCACATGCCGGCCATTATAGGCTGCTGCCCACTGGGGTGGAGGAGAAGCATTAAGCTCCTTGCTCAGGCCACAAGCCAGCAAAGCACAGAAGTGCATGCTTATCTTTAAGCTCTCGAGTGCTTAAACCATGCTTAAAACTAAGCATGTGCATGTGTGTTTTGGGGGACAGTGCAGTCTGGCTTGGTATCGGACGGTCTCTGAAATTGTGCAGAGGGGTAGCAGCGTTGTGACGGACGTAAACAAGATTGGACAACGTTAAAGGGCTGTTTGGAAACTCAGCATGCTGGAGAGATGATGCGGCTTTAAAACAAATCATGTTTTTGATCCACAGACTGTAAACCTAGTAAACACAGGGACAAGAGAAGGACTGTTGTCATTGTACACTGAAAATTCAAATCTAGCCAAAAATTGTACTATAGACTGTCTCTCTAGTAATCTGAAACCATATTTACTGGTTTTACAGGACAGAGATCAAAGAGTAATTTATGGGAAAGCACAGCCTGCTCATCTGTCCAAACTTGCTGAGCTCCAAAACGCTCCTTAATTTTATCTGCTCTTGCCACATTGAAGACTTTCCTCTTTTATCTCTGAGACTCAACCCTGGGAATCCTAAGGGATGAGTTTTATTTTCACATCCAAGTCCCTTAGGAATGGGAGACATCTCAGACTGTTTATGACATGGAAATTGGGAGCCCCCTACAAGTGCTTATAAGCCTGTTTCCCACACGCACCGGCTCCCAGGGAGTCAACTGCTGCCCCGCGTGTAACTGTGTAAGCGCTGCAATATTCAGCGGCTACATGATTACTTAATTAGACTCATTTTAACATCCCTAGTGAGCAGTTGGTGAGATGTAATCAAATTCTTACACAGCTATAAAGAAATACTAGCAAACATATAGCCTAACATTTACATCTCTTTCTTTTTCTGCAACAGTTCTGTGCACTGTTAATTTGGAAATTGGGAAAGCTAGTGCTACACTATTTAAGCATACAGGTTGAACCTCTCTAGTGCCAAACCAGAGAATTCAACTTGTATATTGTTTGAGAGATGATGGCTGCTAAAGTTTGTACAAGGGTGGGGCGTATATTTCAAAATCAATGAAAACTGGAATTCTGATTAAATCAGCTGGCAGCATTCCACCCTTTGTGTGCTAGTCTTGTTTATGAGCAATCCCAGGATATCTGCTGCTTGGGATGGTAAACAGTATTATAGAGGTGAAATCCTGGGCCCATAGAAATCAGTGGAACAATCCAGTGGACTACAGCCAGACCAGAGTTTCAGCTGGGGTGCAGGGACCAGCATATGCCCTGTTCCACACACTCATCTCACTTAACTCCATTGTACCTGATCCAAAGAGCACTGAGAGTCAGTGGAAGGACTTCTCTGTTGGTGTCAGTTGGCCTTGGATCTGGGGATGAGGCTTAATTGGTGCATATGCTTTGTACAGTATGCGTCTTCTGTACAGAAGGAGCGAATTTTGCCCATAGTGAAGAGGCAAAAGTGTCGTTTTCAATCCATATTTCACAAGCAGAATCTTATTCTGGGCCTTTACATCCTTTTGGGTGGTTTTGGGCTAACCTCTCCTCTTTTCACGTTGTCATTTATAAAGCAAAAGAAAAAAAAATAAGGAAACTTCACTAGACTGCATTAAGAACGCTGGTGGGTGAACAGGATTGTAAAATTGCTCAGCATTGACCTCACTCGTCCCAAAGGGAGTTTTCCCACTTCAGGGAGAGCAGAGTTTGGCCAGTGCTGAGTGCTTGTGAAAATCTCACCCTTTCTCTTTACGCATTTAAAGCGGGAGTTCTGCAGCTATCTACTATGTATTTCAGAGAGTTTGTCTGTATGTCTGACTGTTCAAGAACTCCTCCTAAATAGTAAGAGCTAGGACTGCCAGATGTGATATGCAGCTTCTTCTTGTCATAACATAAAGCAAGGTGAAGGGTTTGGTTGTTCCAGGAAAATGGGAAGTGCCTGGAATGGGATTGATTCTCATAAAACCATACAGAAAAGAGACAGAATCACCAGGCAGGTGGAAGGGGCTGGCTGGGAGCGTGTGCCCTCCTCCCATCTGGGACTGCCATAGCCTTGAGCCCCTCACCCCCCTGGTACCCTTTAGGGAGGGCGAAGGGAGCCCCGCCAATTCATATGGGGGCATTGCTGGCTGTTCCCCTTTGTCAGGGAGTGGGTGCACAGTTTGTTGCATTCCTCACTCTGGCTGGGGAGTGCAGGAGGCAGCCAAGTTGTTCACTTTGCTCTTGCTCCCTTACGGGGCCAAGAAGGGGAAGAGCAAACAGCCCTGGTATGAATCTCGGGGTGGCCTTCAGCCTCCCTGCCCGCCTCCCTGCCCCCACACCACACACACAACACATACACTCCCCTGCCCAGAACCTCTTCTCACCCCCCCCCCAAACCCTGACTCTTGCACCTCCCAATCCCCCTTCTCTGAGCCCCTCCTTAAGGACCCGAGCAACGCCGAGTAAATGTGCTAGTAATTTGTACCATTGCAAAGATTTCCTTAAGAGCCCAAATTTTCTGTCTCCCAGAGAGTACAGGCCAAGAGCAAATGTTCATATTTTGGACAATGACACCAGAGTTTCTTCTGTGAACCCAAAGACGTATGTGTTTGAACCGGAGATGTCTGTTGGAGACCCTGAAGTTGATCTGATCAGGACAGTAAACATTCCTGCAGTGGTGAGTTCCATTGTGTGTATGCCTGGAATGTTACTGACACGTGTTTGGAATGTTATTGACACGTGTTTGGAATGTTACTAACAAGTGGCTCTTACTGACATATGGCTACAATTTGTACCTATATGCATGGATTTCTCAACTTCAAAGCACTTGGTGACCGCCAGCTAATTTCTTCTTATGAAAACTTCTTGAGATTGATAAGAATGATCCCCATTTATGGACAGAGAACTGGCGTCAGAGACACTAAAAGGCCACTGAGGTAGAACATGTCAGAACAGATTGGAAATAAGGCATTCCGGACCTCCGCTCTCGGAGTCCTGTCATAGGATCTACTGTATCATTTTAAAGCGGGGTCTCAAACTCACTGAGCATTTTCACAGTCCCGTCCAGGGGAGAGGAGGTGTCCATACCAGAAACCTAAATGCTGCTCCTTCCTGCTCCACCCTCTCCCCTCCATTCCACCCCTTCACCCAAGTCTCCTCCCCTGAGGATGCCTCATGCCAGGCCCTCCCGGTAATCCTTAGGTCAGGGGGCTTGGGAGAAGGGGTGCAATGGAGGAAGCGAGCAGGAGAGGCAGGGCTAGAGGGACTGGAACAGACCTACCCCCCCTTCAGCTGCATTGGATGGCCCATAGGCTGTGAGTTTAAGATGCCTGTTTTAAAGGATATGATATTACCTCATTTTAAAAAAGAGGCACTTGATCTCTGAAGTCCTCGGGTACTCTTAAATGAACGGAGCCTGATTCTCCATCGCCCTGCACTTCATGTAGTTATGTTGTGATGGCGAGTTGGGGTTCCACCTGATCCGGCAGCCCCATAGCAGCAAGAACAGACTCCGCCAGCCAGTAGAATAGAGGGGGTTTATTGCTTCTCCAGGGCACAGCACGGCATAGATGTGATGTGGTTTCAGGAGTCAGGGCCAGGATGCCTCAGAGCCCTTGGACTAGGGGGTCCATTGTCATCCCTAGACCCTCAACGTAGGCTGTTTCCTCCATGGTTCCCAGCTAGCAACTGACCCTTCCCCCGAAACCTGGTGTTGGTCTCCGCCTCCCTCCCTTTGTCTCTCTGCCTGGGAAGCGCCTTGTTATCTGGTCAGGCTGGGCCTAGCTGTCTGGGCTAATACATGTGTGAGTGAGTCAGTGGGAATCACACATCACAGTGCAGGGGGACACCAGGTTACAGAGCAGACAGCACCCCCACTATGTCACGCATGCCCATCGGTTCAAATCACACTAGGAATGTTTTGTACCTACTTTACACTGATGAAATTGGCTGCCGAAGGTGCAGGGTAACAGAATCCAGTCCATTGTCTGATTCTGTTCTACAGCTCTTGGAGATGCCTGTCAAGCCAGGACTTGTACTGAACAAATATTCAAAAACCAGATATAATGGTTAATATTTTAATAGTTTTTTGCCTAACGGTTATGTGTTATAAGAATATCGTCCCTTGTCATTGTGACAGGACCATTTCCTGCAATACCTTTGAAAGACCTTGTTTTATTACATTTGTGTATCAGTGTGGGCCAGGATTGTATATAACCTCTCTAAGGAGGAGGCGTGACTGAGGCAAGACTTGGGAATGCCAGAAACTACTGAACATGGTCTAGACAAGTGTGGACTTTTGGGAGAATAAGCATTAAGTGGATTTCTTTGGGAACCCGCTGAGAGAAATTAATCCAAATCCCCTGCCCCTTTTGCAGCCAGTTTCATCAGTGTAAAGTAGGTATCAAACATTTCTACAGTCTTTTGAAGCTACATCTGAAGCAGTGTCTGTGTCTGCTGATTACCTGTTACAGAAGACCAAGAGCAAAGGCCTAAGCTGTATAAAGAATCAGCTGATCTGCACACTCTGTTGCAGTTCTGGATCTAAGACTTGTAATCATGGGGGAAAAACCCATAATGGGTCTGGGCCAGTGCCCTTGGTTGGATTGGGGGTGACTTCTGGTGAGCTTTTTGACATGTGTTTTCTCTGTAATGCTTTTGCCTTAAGAATAAATGTGCTTGCTTAGAAGGATGGAAATGCCAATGATTTGGATGTGTATGGGTGCATATTTAGAAGCTGTGTGGTGGGCAATACTCTGGTCACAGCCCTTGAGGAAAGCAAAGTGCAGGTGCTGGCCTGTTTAAGTAGCTGGGCTCAGTGGAATATCGCAGTGTAAGGCAGGGAGCTGTGCTGGCTGGAAAATTCCCACCGGGAAGAGGATGGAAACAAATCTCTAGAGAGGAAAATATGGCTCTGCAGAAAGCCCCGGCTTATGATTTGTTGTGACACTGCTGTTGTAGCCGTGTTAGTCCCAGGATACCAGAGAGACAAGTGAGTGAGGTAATCTCTTATTGGATCAACTTCTGTAGACCTAGCACTGTCTACACCAAGGATCAGGTCAGTGTAACTGCATTGCTCAGGGTGTAGGTTTTTCAGACCTCTGAGTAATAGTTATACCTCCCTGATTTCCTAGTGTTGACCACATCTAAACAGGAAAGCTTGTCCCTTTCACCAACAGAAGTTGGCCCATTAAAAGACATTCCCTCACCCATCTTGTCTCTCTAGTATGCTGGGACCACACTAAGGATGTTAAGGACTAGTCAATTGCCAGCAAAGGGCGGGAGGAAAGGGGTGCTTCAAAGGGGCAGCTCCACACAGCTGTGTGGGGCTGCCCCTTTGAAACGCGGAGGCAGCATTTCAAAGTGGCTCTGTGGAGCCTGCGGTCAGCTGGGAACTCCCCAGCTAATCCTGGGTTCCACTGAAATGCCATGGGGAGCCCGGATCAGCTGGGAGCCCAGAATCAGCTCGGAATCCCTCGCTGACCCCGGGCTCCATGCTGCGCTGCGGATTTGAAATGTACAAGAGCGCCCGCTAGGGACTATTGTACATTTCAAAGCTGGCACGGGGTGCGCAGGCTGGAGTTAGCTGCTGATTCAGGGCTGCACATGGAGTTCCGCATTCCTCCTTGGAAATGTACAAGAGCCCCTTGTACAAGAGCACCGCATTGCAAGAAAGATGTGGAGAAATTGGAGAGGGTCCAGAGAAGAGCAACGAGAATGATTAAAGGTCTGGAGAACATGACCTCTGAGGGAAGGCGGGAATTGGGTTTGTTTAGTTTAGAAAAGAGAAGATTGAGGGGGGCCATGATAGCAGTTTTCAGATATCTAAAAGGGTGTCATAAGGAGGAGGGAGAAAACTAGTTCATCTTGACCTCTGAGGATAGAAGCAGCAGCAATGGGCTTAAACTGCAGCAAGGGAGGGTTAGGTTGGACATTAGGAAAAAGTTCCTAACTGTCAGGATAGTCAAACACTGGAATAAGTTGCCCAGGGAGGTTGTGGAATCTCCATCTGTGGAGATATTTAAGAGTAGGTTAGATAAATGTCTATCAGGGATGGTCTAGACCAGGCATGTCCAAAGTCCGGCCCGCGGGCCAATTGCGGCCCGTGTTCCGGTTTAATACGGCCCCACAAGTAATTTGGCAATATCTATCTTTTATGGCCCCCAACGAATCCATATGTATTGAGATGAATACATTGTAAAATCTCAGTTAATGTCAGTTGGTCTAAATCAGTTATAAATATATTTGGACACAACATGTATACTTGGTGTTATGTTCCTGTTCATATTTTTTGAACTTAAAAGTTGACAGACAACCTTTATTACCAATAATATGTAATGTACTTTACAATGTTCCTGACATATATTTCAGCTTCCTGGATTTTTTTTTCATCTGGCCTTCAGATATGAAAGGCAGAGTGATTTAACACCTGTTTAGATTTGTCATCCATGTGACGAAATGAAAAGTATGCCGTTTGCAATAAACTTTGCATAAAATAGTTAATTTGCATTTAATTTTAATGGTTCAAAGAATGTCAGGCAAAATGGTCGGCCCTCACGCATGTTCACTTCATCAAATCTGGCCCTCTTTGAAAAAAGTTTGGACACCCCTGGTATATAGCATTCCTTTGTATCAGGGAAGATCTAGAATTCAGAATGACCTTAGAAAAATCAATTAGCTGAATGTGATGAGATAAAGAATTCTCACTTTCCTCTGTTTATGTCACCGGGCTTGCTGGGGCAAGTCAGCGTGCTGTGAAAAGCGATGCTCGTACGTTTGTTAATATCCCGCCTCACAGCAGACTTACTCGCTAGCAATAAGGAAACCCCAATGATTTGGACGTGGATAGGTGCCCATCTATTTGTTTCTCCTAAGGTTCATTACATATTTTAGGAAAAAGTACAAGACTGGCCACCTGCATGAGTTGGTGGCCACACTCTGGGGCCACCAAAAATATATTGTGAGAACCGCTGCCCCAGAGGTTTGTTTCAGTCTTTAACCTGGTAGGCTACATTTTGAGTCAACGCTGTGTTGCACACCTAGAATTGTTCAGTATGCACATGAAGGGGGTGGGGTGGGGAGCGACACCCTGTTGTGGCTACTGCCTTTTAATAGGTCTTTGGGATTCACTTCTCTCTAAAAACATTGTATACTGGATAAGTCTGCTATCTAGTCCCTTGTTTTGTGCATTCCTAGAGTGCAAATGCAGGCACAATTTCCTATTGTCTTCAGCAGCAGTTTTGCATGGGTAAGGACTGCAAAAACAAACAAATCCCAAACAAAAAAAACCCCAAGCACTTTTTCAGTGTCAGCTGCTCAAGACAAAAGATGCTGTTTTCCTGACTGGTCTGCAGTAGATTGAACAGACTGGCATACTCTCACTTTTAGACTAAACCTTATGAATAATAAACCCTGGTAGCTCAGCCGCCTGATTTTACTTTTTCAGTTTTGGGTTAGGAAGCTGGGTAGAAGCAAATTACACAGGTGAGGGGTTGACATTAAAAAACTTTACTCTTAAAAATAAGATTTAAGGGGTTTAGAAGTTTCTCCTGGCTTTTTATGTAAAAAAAAATATAAAAATTCTTTCATGCAGAAGCTGATCATTTCTCCAAAAAGCTTAAAAAAACCCAACTCTCAAGGGAGTTAATTTGCATTAGCAGGTGGAACTTCAGCTCATGTGCCAGAATGTAACTTCATTAGGTCTGACACTAGTTCACAGTACAGGACAGGGAACTCTGGTGAGTGATCATGGCAGAAGCTGGAAGCAGCAGGTTAGTTGTGGTGGAGTTGGATATGCCTGGTGATCACCTGAAGACACTCATACATCACTGTCAAATACCACTGTAGGGCTTCAGTGTGGAGAGGCATTACAGCAATAGGAGGGTGTAGCTGTGTGTGACTTACTGCAGCAGCGCCTCCTGCTGGTTGCTCCAGGCATTAGCTGAAACTAGCCCCCAGAGCACCCTCTTCCGCCGACGTCTCACCTGTTGTTACCGACTTCTATCAGGAGCCGTGTCTCTCCCAGACCGTAGTGCCTTTCCCTTAGGCTCCTGCCTCACAGCGGGGACCCCCGGGGTCTTCCCCCTCAGGGAACCCCTATGCCCCCCTTGCCTCAATGACCCGCTGCTCATCATCATCTAGCCCTGCAACGGGCAAACTGAGTCTGAAGTGGCCACTCATCCTAGGCAAGAGGGTGTGAGCTGCTGCCTTCGCCTGCCCTGGCTGCCTCCCTAGTACCCCTCAGGCTCTTTCGCTGGGACTCCACCTGGAGTTACTCAAGCCAGAGGTCCCTTGGCTCACCCTGCCTTTCCCCAGCACTGCTCTGTCCGTGATACCTCACTAGCAGGCAGCTCCGTCCGTATGGGAGTGTGTGCTCTGCTTTTGAACTGCTGGGCCCAGGGGTAGTTGCCTCCTTTCCTGCCCTCCATGTCAGCGGGCCTGAAGGTTGGCTTAAGTACCTTGCTCAGGTGTGGATTTTGCATACTTAGGAGTGATATGGCATAGACCAGCTCATCATCGCCTTTCCTGAAGGAGCTGGCTCTCTGACACTCAGCACTGAATAGTTTTGCTACTGGCGAGCCAGTGGCATAATGTTATTTGCAAACTGCACAAGTAAGGGAGGAGCTTGTCCTGTGGTGAGTCTCCTTAAAATGAGGGTTTTAGGAAGAGTGTAACCCTAAGAGTGGGAGCGGGATTTGGAAAGGTAGAAATTGCACTGTCGTGGGAGGTATTTTTAGCAATAAAAACAGCCTCTGATAACTTTGACTGTGCAGTGTTGTTGTAGTTGGGTGGGTCCCAGGATATTCGAGATAAGATGGGCGAGGTAGTATCTTTTATTGAGCCAACTTCTGTTGCAAAGAGAGGCGAACTTTCTACCGTAGACAGTCATACTCGAAGAAGTGCCGTGTGAAAGGATGAAAACTCGCCTCTCTCACCAACAGACGGCTCAATAAAAGATATTTCCTCGCTTGCTCTGTGTCTCTAACAACTTTGAATAATACAGGTTGGACCTCCCTGGTCCAGCACCTTCGGGACCTGACTCATCCCGAATGAGGGAATTTGTCAGACCAGGGAAGGTCCCCTGCTACCAGCCTCTCAGGATACTGTCTCTCCCTCCATCTGGCTCTGCTGCAGCCCTGCTGCTACAGGGTTTGGGCTTAGCTCTGGTCTGCTTCTGCCAGCCTGCTGGGACTCTGGGAACAGAGCTTCCCAGCTTCCATGGACCTGCTCTGCCAGGAGTTTCCCGGGGATGGGGGTCCCTGGGGACAGGGCTTGCTCATCCCAATGCTGGGGCTCCCCGCAGCTGGGCTCCCGTGTGCCGGTGCTCTCTGGTCCAGCAACGTCCATGATCCTGCAAGACCATCAACGTTGCTGGACCAGAGAGCCCTGGATTTAGGAGGTTCAACTTATCGTTGCAAAGAGAAATAAAACCACAGGCTTATTACTGTTTCTAACACTTCACATTACAGTCTGAATCTGACCTGCACACCCTTCCCCGCTGTTGTAACCTCGCTGACTCCAGTCATGCGGGGTACTCACTCTGTTTTGCTGAGTGTCAACACAATAGGAGTACGTGATCGTAGGTCTGACTCCATAATGGCGAGCTACAGTGGAGCCCTGTAGCAAGTTAATTTTATCCAGTTGCAGCTAGTGCAGCTGTTTCTCCTTGGCCGTGTCCAGACTCAGGGGTTTTTTCGGGAAAAGTAGCCTTTTCCCGAAAAAACTTCCCCTGCGTCCAGACTCAAGCCGCGTTCTTTCGAAATTATTTCGAAAGAACGCAGCTTTTCTTTCGATGGCGGTAAACCTCGTTTCACGAGGAAGAACGCCTTCCTTCGAAAGTTCCTCTTTCGAAGGAAGGCGTTCTTCAATGTAAAGAGGCCGTCTTCGAAAGAGAGCATCCAGACTCGCTGGGTGCTCTCTTTTGAAAAAGCGGATTTCTCTTTCGAAAGATCCGCCTGCAGTCTAGACGCGATCTTTTGAAAGAGGCTCTTTCGAAAGAAGCCTGCAGTCTAGACATAGCCCTTGTTACTACATGAGTGGTGTTCAACGTGACCCCTTACTGATGCACTCCGCTGTGACAGATTGCCAGACTGTAAAGACGACGGCTAGGCTTGGAAGGATAAGATTTGTATTGGGAAATGCTGGCAAACACAATTTTCACCCTACTCACACAAAGCCGCTTAAAAGGACGGCTGCTTAGTGAGCATCTCCTCCTGGCCAGGGGCACCTGGAGGCTCCCTGCCTGTTTTTCCCCCCTCTTCATGCTCCTTTGTGTATGTGAAGGCGATCCTCTCCGCCTGGCTCGATGGGCTTGTGTTAGCAGGGCTTGCCCTAGCGCTGTAAAAATAGCGTATCACAGCACAGGCAGGCGTGCTACCCTTTAAGAACTCACAGCAGCTTTCTGGGGCTAGCTTAGAACTCATTCACAACAGCCCAGCGTCCCAGACAAACGTCCACACCAGCAACTTAGCTCTGGCATTTTCTCTCACCCCACAGGGCTCTTCAGTCCCAGTCTGATCTTCTAGGGGCTGACTTCCAGTCCCAAACAGACCCCTCGTTGCCTCCTTACCCCACCAGCCTCCTGCACGCTGGGCTTTCCCCTCCAAACTCACTGGTGTCATGGAGCTGCAAGAGTCTTTTTATTTCTCTCTCTCTGTAGTGTCCATTGGTGCATTGGGCTTCCCCTTTAACTTTATCTTCCCTCTGCTTTTTATACGGCAGTGTTTCTTAAACCAGTGTGCCGCGAGGCAGTTGGAGGTGTGCCGCAGAGAACAACAGTTTAAAATGGTCACCCTTAAAGGGGCAGATGACTTTTACTAAGGTGGGGGAAAAAACCCCAAAACTCTCCCGCCCTCCCCGCTTCCCCAGACACTGGGTTTTTTTTTTTTTTTTTGGTTCAACAAAAAATCAGTGGTGTTCCTCATTTAAAAAAAAAATATTGTCTGGTGTTCCTCGGTCTTAAAAAGTTTAAGAAACACTGTTATAGGGAATTCCCCTCAGATGAGCTCCTTCTGTATCAAAGTTGGCTTAGCCCCACACTCTCCAGCTCATGGCACAAGCTGCCCGGTTACACCAATGAAAACTATTTCCATTGATAATAATCAAGATGTGCCGCTAATCAAAATAGGAAAAATGCTCTGTACAGTCCAAGACTCTCTGAACATGACCAAAGTAGAATGTGAAGCTATTGATTTTCCAGGGGAAGCCAGTTTAAATACGCTCAGGCATTCCCACAGCTGTGAAAATTTAAATTGATACGCACTGAAGAAAATGACTGAAAATAAACACCATAAAATAAAATTGTACCATGCATAACTCTAGCCCAGTCCACACAGGGGTGATTCATGTTCATGCATTTGAATGTAGCTCCTGCCAGCACGATTCTCCTGACCTGTGTGAACTAAGATTTCTTCTGAGACTGATGCTATAAAACCCCTATTGTGGACTACCTAGGGAAGTAGTTTGTTTCACTGTCTGTCTAACGCTGTTCCTTGAGCAGAATTTTTGAGTGCACCTGTCTGGAAAATCAGGCTAGAAACTTGCTAGCAACAACCCTTCTATTGTTGAGAGCGTGATTCTTTTGCCATAAATAATCATTTGTACCAACATGTTCTTATGCCAGTTTTGATCTTTTTTACATAAGAAATTTGTCATTTAACTAGCTGTCTAACTTCATTTCTTATACAGTATTGGGCTGTAGAAAGTTCAGTGTTCCACAGGCTACAGGGAACATGAATTCCCTTCTGTTCAGCATATGCTGTTTGCACTGATGTAGCCAGGCCATGTATTTTGGAGAACTGGCTGCCTTTTAAAGGATGTAATCTGCATTTGGTTTCACAGCTCTGTTAATTTCAGTCATTGAAACTAAAATTCAAACACCTATCTGGAAATAGGCTGCTGTGTTTAACTAAACATTGTTGCATGTACTTTGGTTTAATGCCTCAGAGCCACAACATTTTGAAACTAAAACTCCATTATTCTGGCTAGTAGGTTACCATACCGTGCTTAAACACCATCTTGATTCAGCTTTGCTTTAGGTACATTCTTAAGGATAGGCTTAACTTAATTAAATGGAACTTACGTGCTATATTGAATAGGGATGGATTTAAGCAAGCACGTAAATGTTTTGCTGAATTGGGGCCTGTGAAAGCATATCTTGATAAGAAAATATAAAAAGAATCCCAGTGACCCATAAATTACCGGTTTCTGTTAAATCATAAGGTTGAAAATATGCTGCATGCCTGTGCACTGTTCTCGTATTTCTGTGTGCATTTTATTTTAATACTGTATCAAATTGCCCTTGTTTCATCTCTCATATCAGACTGCCATGGAACAGACCAAATCAACTTCTCTCCAGTTTCCCGTAGAGGTGCTCCTAATCTTGTACCAAGAACACCTGTTTATGACACACACTGTCCATGAGTTGTTATGGGGCTACAAAGACAAACTTTTGACAACCCTTCATATGTTTCGTCCGGAGATTGATCCCATGTTTGGCCTGTTCAATAAGGTAACTTGCTTATGATGTCTTGCTTCCCAGGGCTTTAAATTAATGGCACTTCAGTGATGCAAGGTTAGGGCTGTAATTGCTGGTCCAGTGGTAAAGGGCATATTGAGGTCATGCGCTGGCATTTTGGAAAGGTTGTGAGGAAACAACTGGAGAGAGGACAGTGGGGATAGCTGCCTCTTCTCGGCTGAAGGACAACACCTGCTTTTTGTGGTTCGGAGTCCTTGCATGGAGAGCAGCACATCTGCTTTTTTCCCCACCCATGTTTGGCAACGAGGTTGCAGTTTAGAGATGGGCCTTACCACAGTTGCTCATGCCTTTGTCCCCTCTAATGCACTCTCTGCGGGACTCGAAAACCACTGGGAAAATTCAGCGGAGACAGAATGTGGCGGCCTATTTGCTTAACAGCCTTCCCTTGCGGGAGCGCACAAATACCTGGGTTCCAGAGACTGCGCCGGCAGCCAGTGTGTGTCTGGTTGCAATTCAGAGGGTTGATTCAGTCTCTAAAGTTCTTTATGGTTTGGCCCATGGATATCTTGGATACCCCCTTCTCTCTCCTTGAAAACGTCTGGAATGCTCTGGTTGGACCGTTCCGCACGGTTCTCACTGCATGGGGCATGCTCAGTGCAGCCCAGGACTCTCTGAACATGACCTGAAGCTATTGATTTTCCAAGGGCAGCCAGTTTAAACCTCTGCTGCAAAACTAAAATGATCTACAGCCTCTTCATCCCAGGCAGTGGTTCATGCGGTGAGCAATTTGAAGGGAAGAGAGGCTAGTTCTTGGTTTCCTCCCCTCAGGATTTCTCTGTCTCAGAACTAGCTCAGCTTCTCCCATGTCTCTTCTATTCAGGAAGCTGTGTAGTGAGCCACATCTGCCTTATGCAGAGTGCAAGGCACAGTAACAGGGAGGCCCTGCAGTAAGCACTGTCCACCCTGCTCTGGTGCATCAGCCAGATGCCCTAGGGCAGGGGTGAGGAACCTTTGCTGAGTCAGGGGCCACTAGGGTGGCCAAATGGTTGAACCAAAAATACCAAACCCCCCCCCCCCCCCCCCCCCACACACACACAAAACCACCGGGAAAAAATTCTGTTGAAAAAAAAAAGGGGGGGAGGACTCCAAGACTTATTAAGCAATAAATTAATTAATTAAATAAAACAGCATTAAACAGCATGTCCCCTTTAAGAGTGAGTGCAGGGATAGGAACAGGGGAGTGGTTGAGCACTAAGACCCAGGGGAGGCATTGCTTCCCCTTGGTCTTTTTGCCGGCAGCCATTTTGTGCCAGCAGCCTTGTGGAACCTGGTAAGCAAGGGGGCTGGGGGTTTTGGGGGTCGG